CCTCCCGGCTTTATCTCCTCTGTCCTTGCAAGTGGCCATCAGAGGCTGGAGGTCTGGGCTCTAAGACCACATTACAGCCGTGGAAACTGAAGTGTGGATATAGTGGCTCACCTGAGGCCACCAGCAAGCCTGTATCCCTGAGACTCAATCTTAGGGCCCTTGAATCCAAGGCCAGGGGTCCCTTCCCACCTCACCCAGCATCGTAAGCTGGGACCTGGCATTGTGGCCACTCTGGTTTTGGGCCACGGCAGTCTGGGGGGGCCCATGGTGCCAGCATCCCTCCTACTGCCCGCAGGTTTTTTGGTACCAAGTGGATGATGTTCCTGGCTGTGGGCATCTATGCCCTCTTTGTCTCCACCAACTACTGGGAGCGCTACTACACCCTTGTGCCCTCAGCCGTGGCCCTGGGCATGGCCATTGTGCCTCTGTGGGCCTCCATGGGCAACTACATCACCAGGTGAGCCTGGTGGGCAGCAGGGTGGGAGACTGGAGACCTGGCCGAGCCTCGGCTGGCGGACCGACCTTGGACCAGCCCCATCCACCCTCTGGGCCTCAGTTTTCCTGTCGTGAGAGACAGGGGCTGGCCAGCTGGTAACCCTGGGTGCAGGAAGTGGCATCTGGCAGAGGTTGGGCTGGGGAGAGCCTTCTCTCCTTTGTGGTTCAGGATGGCCCAGAAATACTACGAGTACTCCCACTACAAGGAGCAGGATGAGCAGGGCCCCCAACGGCGCCCACCTCGGGGCTCCCACGCACCCTATCTCCTGGTCTTCCAAGCCATCTTCTATAGCTTCTTCCACGTGAGTGCTATGTATGGGGACACTGGGGGGTTGGGTGGTATCCAGGCCCAGAACTCACACATCGGAGCCCATTCCAGTCTCTTCTTCAGACCTCTAGTCCTACTGTCCTTTTTTTTTTTAAGGGGAAGAGGTAACTAGGTTTATTTGTTTACTTATTTTTTAAGTGGAGGCACTGGGTATTGAACACAGGACCTTGTGCTTGTTAGGCAGGTACTCTACCACTGAGCTATCTCCTCCCCACCCCACTGTCCTTTCTTGAGCCAGCCCCTGCTTGCTTCTAGTCACTGAGACCTCATTCCCTCCCTGTCCACAGTGCTGACCAGGAGGAAGTACTCCTGCTTTGGCCACCCCCTGTCCCCCAGAGGTGGGAGGGCTCCTGTCCTCCCGAGGCTGTGCCAGACCCCTCCCAGATCATGCCTGTGCCCCCTGCCTGGTTCCATGTCCCAAGCCTGACCCAAGCTGCCCTCCTGCCCACAGCTGAGCTTTGCCTGTGCCCAGCTCCCCATGATCTACTTCCTGAACCACTACCTGTATGACCTGAACCACACGCTGTACAATGTGCAGAGCTGCGGTAAGTCCTTCCGGGGGTGGGGTCCCAAGGTCTGCTCACCTCTCCATGGAGTCATGCAGCAGATACTGGGCCCCCAAGAGCAGAGAGGATGCCCTTACTCACAGGGTTCAAGGCCGAGAGCTTGATGTCCTACAGCTCTGGTGAATGAGGTACAGGCCTTGTAGTCAGGACATCTGACCCAGCCTGGGGTGGCAGGGGTTGAGGGTGGCAGTCAGGGAAGGCTGCCTGGAAGAGTTGCCATCTAGGCTGAAGCCGCCTATGGGAATCTCTCAGGGCCAAGTGTACCCTTAGTGAAGGGCAAATGAATGGAGGTGGAAAGTAAACTGGCTCCCACTGCAGCCTCAGGGCAGGCAGTAGGGCAGGGAAGAGGGGGAGGTGCTCTTCTCCTTGGGGTGCTTTCAGCCCCAGGGGCCTTCACCTCCAAAGTGCTTCCCAAACAGCGCGTTTGAACGCACGGTCCTCGCCCACCTCCTCCAACCCTCCCCTCTCACCCGCCTGCTTTGCTGCACTTCTTTGTGGCTGAATTGATAGTGTGCCCTGCGCCCTGCCTCACAACGCCCCCCACCCTCCGCTTTCTCAGGCACTAACAGCCAGGGCATCCTCAGCGGCTTCAACAAGACGGTTCTGCGGACGCTACCGCGGAGCCGAAACCTCATTGTGGTGGAGAGCGTCCTCATGGCGGTGGCCTTCCTGGCCATGCTGCTGGTAAGGCCCAGGATGGGGGTGCGGCGGAGTCAGGTCTGGGACCGTGGCGGGGAGAGAGGAGTGCGGTCTGGTCTGGGCGCACTGATGGCCAGTCGGGAGTCAGGGCTGAGTCCTGGAAGGCGGACTGAGGCTAGGAGCTGGGTTTGAGGCTTGGGGGCGTGGCTGATGCCTGTGGACTGAGAGAGAAGTTGGAAACCCAGAGGCCAGTGACAGAGGGTCCAGGGTCAAGCTGGAGACAGGGTCCTAGAGGACTGGCTGTGACAAGGACGGAACCACCGGCTGAGGGTCAGGAGGTGTGGCTCAAACCTGGGGGCGGTACCGGGAGGCAGAACCGGGGGCCTTGGGGGCGTGGCCTTTGCCTGAAGGCAGGGCTGGGAGACAAGGCCCCGCCTGTGGATATACCTGAGGGGCGGGGCTGTGCCCCGGGGGTGGGGGAAGGTGCTGCTGGCCGCAGGGTCACCGCCTTGTCCGCAGGTGCTGGGCTTCTGCGGCGCTGCGTACCGGCCCACCGAGGAGATCGACCTGCGCAGCGTGGGCTGGGGCAACATCTTCCAGCTGCCCTTTAAGCACGTGCGCGACTTCCGCCTGCGCCACCTTGTGCCCTTCTTTATCTACAGCGGCTTCGAGGTGCTCTTTGCTTGCACTGGTCTCGCTCTGGTGAGTGCAGCCTGCAGAGGGTTGCCAGATAAAATACACGATGTCCAAGTAAATTTGATTTTCAGATAAACAAGGAATAAGTTTTGAATATATGTATAAGTATGCACCACCCCATTTTATATAAGGGACTTGAACATCAGCAGATTTTGATATGGGTGCAGGGTTCCTGGAACCAGTCTGCCGCGGATACCCAGGGGCAGTTGTAGGCCCAGATATTCCCCTCCCTCTTTCTTTTCCCTCCCTTCCCCCATCCCCCTTCATCCTTGGGAAAGTTACTTTAACCTCTCTGAGCCTTTCCTTATCTGTGAAGTGTTTAATGACCATGCTCACGTCCAGAGGTGTTGTGCTGTTGAAATGGGATGACATTCCATGTGGGGTTTCAGCCTTGGTGTCTGGGGACACTGTCTGAGCATTTTCTCATTGTCCGTCCCTGAGCAACCTTCCTACGGGCCTTGGAGGGAGCTGGCCCCGAGGTGGCCTGAAATGAGATCCTGTGGGGAAGGCCAGAGCCCTGGTCAGTTGACCCTCCAACACTCATCCCTGTCCCCCCAGGGCTATGGCGTGTGCTCAGTGGGGCTGGAACGCCTGGCATACCTCCTTGTGGCTTACAGCCTAGGTGCCTCGGCAGCCTCTGTCCTGGGCCTGCTGGGGCTGTGGCTGCCACGCCCGGTGCCCCTGGTGGCTGGGGCTGGACTGCACCTGCTGCTCACTCTCAGCCTCTTTTTCTGGGCCCCGGCGCCTCGGGTCCTGCAACACATCTGGATCCTCTATGTAGCAGCCGCCCTCTGGGGTGTGGGCAGCGCCCTCAACAAGACTGGGCTCAGCGGTGAGTACAACAATGCACCCTAGGATGGCTGGGTGGGGGCCACGTGGCTCCCTCAGGGCGGTTGTGGGGAGCCCAGATATCCCAGGGACAGGGACATGTGGGCTGACAGACACACTGAAGGTCAGCCGTGGGGTCCCGTGGACTGAAGGTAGGTGGGGCTTCCAGTGGGCACTCTAGGGGTGGAAGGAAGTCCCGTGGACACTGTAGGGCCAGATGAGGAGGGCTGTGGACATCCTGAAGGCAGGTGTGGGAGTCGCATGCCATGAACATCCCGTGGACTCCCCAGGGTAGGCAGGGGAGTCAGCATGGGATCTTGTCACTACATTGCCTGGGGCTCGGTGAACACCTCTTAGGGACGATGTGAAAAACACACTGGGGATACCTTGTTTTCATACCAGGGGACAACGCCCGCCTTGGCATAGTTTCCATGACCCTGGAAGTAGATGGGGGGTCTTTGCCCCAGGGGGCATGGGAAGCAGCCAGTGACCCTGTCCACACTCCAGGGGTTATGCGCAGATATGGATATGGCCTTTTTATGGAGAGGAGCTGGGAGGAGCCATAAAACCCCAGCACCAATCTGCGGAGTCTAGGCCGGGAGTCTGGGCTGCTGGGGTGGGGGCGATGGTAAAAGGGGCCCTGCCTACAGAAAGGAGGGGGTGGGACAGAGTTCAGCTGTGTGATGCTCTCTGCCCACAGATGAGCGTATGTCAGCGGCATGCAGCTGGTACACGTGGGTGCAGCCATTTTGGTGTCCCACACTGGCATCTGTTCTGATGGGCCAGTGCTGTTAACAGTTCTGGACATCACCCTTGTATGACATGGTGGAGGTCATACCTGCTGCAGGCAGGGAAGGAGATGGTTCAAGCAATCCCAGCACCCACCATCCAAGAGTCAGACATCTATATCCACCGTGGAGGATGGAGCCCCACACTCTGGACCACCTTCTTTTGGCTGTTTTGTTCAGGGGCTGGACCTTGAGTTCATGATATGTCTGGACTTGGGCCTAGTCCCAACATCCCCTTCTGCCCAGCTCTGCTTCCTGCCTCCTCTAGTGGCCGCCAGGGAGCTCCATAGGGTACAGTCACACTGCCGGACCTCAGGATGGGGGTGGGAATGGGAGTGGAGGGGCGGGCGAGGGTGCAGTTTGCCAGGTGCTGTGCGTGCTTTCTCCCATTAAAATCTCGCAACACAGCATATACGCGTCATCTCATTTTACAGATGACAAAAGTGGCTCTGGGGAGTTAATTTAGACCAAGTCATCCACAGAGCCAACATTTGAATCCACATCTCTGTACCAACTCTATCCACCTTTCAGTGCTGACAGTAGAGTCTGAATCTCCTGACTCCCTGTCCAGTGCTCTTTCTGCCCACCCTGGGGAGGATTCTTTGGGAAACAAGTTCCTCCCTCCCAACTTCAGGCCTGAGTTGCAGAAAGCTTGTTGCTGTAGCATTTTGCCCTTCCTGAGCCCTGGGTGAGGAGAAAGAACCCCTGCAGGCCTGGAACTGTGCGCCTAGGGTCCAGGAGAGGACAAGATGTGACTGCGCATAGAACTTTCAACTTTTGAGGCCACATGTGTGTCCCAGAGTAGGCCCACTGCATCCCAGCAAGGGAGCTCACTGCGCCTGCCTCAGCTCTGCTCCCAGGCAGGTGATCACCAGGGTGTCCACTGGGGGGCAGGCCAAAACCAGTTTACATGGGATTTCTAGAGGCTCCAGCCAAGAGCAGCAGCCCTAGGCCCCAAGTGACTTTCCCCCTCTTTTTGCCCTGTCCCCTCTGCCTGCAGCACTCCTGGGAATTCTGTATGAGGACAAAGAGAGGCAAGACTTCATCTTCACCATCTACCACTGGTGGCAGGCCTTGGCCATTTTCGCAGTCTACTTGGGCTCAAGCCTGCCCATGAAGGTGAGGGGGCAGGGTGGGAGGAGAGCTACCCCCTCCCCGACCCCCCTTCTGTGTGCCAGTCCTGGCTTCCCAGCTCCTGAAGGACACCACTCCCCAGGGGCTAAGCCCTGGGCCAAGCGCATTGGGTGGCCCCAAACCCAGCACTCACTTCCTGCCTGACCTTCTGCCGGCCTCAGTTTACCCATCTCTGAAAGGGTTCACAGTTTGTTCTTTCCTTGTGGGCACATCCCAGCCACCTTGTGGGTAGTTTGGTAACCTGTTCACTAGATGTTGGTCTCTGAGCTGGATGCCCAGGCTCTGTCTCCCTTTTTGGCCCTCGGGGGTCCTCATGCTCTGCTCCCACCCACTGGTGGGTGAGTTTAGCAGGTCCCGACCAACATTTGAAAAAGAGAAATAGAATAGGAAATAGCACGGAGTATGCATGTGGTGAATATGAGTGTCTGTACTGAGTTATGACATTGAATTGTTTCTGACTGCAAATTACAGTCAAAATCTCCATCATTGCTTATGATCCCCACATGTAAGCGACGGTCATCTAAGCCCTGGCAAAGGAGGACCAGGCCTGTGTCCAGCACATATCAACATCTTCATGTCTACCCTATAAGGCAAAGGGATTATCACTACGTTTAGGGAAACAGCCCCTGAGAGGTCGGGTGACCGTAAGGGACAGAGCTGAGGTTTCAGCCTTGCCCGCAGTGTGCCCAGAAAGCATGGATGGTGGGGCAGCTCCCGGGAGGAGGGAAGGACTGCAGAGGAGCTGCGAGGTGGGTGTGCTACAGAGGAGTGGGTCTCTCCGGGTGAGGATCTGGCCCGGGAACGTGCGGGACTGACAGCCCCGGGTCCCCTGGGTCCCTCCCTGTGCCCCCAGGCTAAGCTGGCGGTGCTGCTGGTGACGCTGGTGGCGGCCGCTGCCTCGTACCTGTGGATGGAGCAGAAGCTGCGGCGGGGTGTGGTCCCGCGCCAGCCACGCATCCCGCGGCCCCAGCACAAGGTGCGCGGCTACCGCTACCTGGAGGAGGACAACTCGGACGAGAGCGACGTGGAGAGCGAGCGCGGCGGCGGCGGAGGCCGGGGAGACGGCGTGGAGGAGGAGGCGCCGCCCGCCGGGCCGCGGGCGGGCCCCGAACCAGCCTGCCCCTACGAACAGGCACTGGAAGGCGATAGGTCCGAGGAGCAGTGAAGGGCCCAGCCTGACAGCCGGCCTCAGGGCACTGCGTCTCAGGCTGGGGCCGCTCTGATTCTGCGCCAGCTTCTGGAAGGACCCTCTGCGCGCCCCTCTGCACGTTCGGAACGCCCCTCCTAGAGCCCGGGGCACCTGGAGCTTGGGATTCGCCCCGCAGCCCCCTCCACGGAGGGGTGGGACCTCGAGATCCCTCTGCCAGGCCCAGGGTTCGAGAGACAGCACAGCTGAAACCCCCCTTCGACCCTTGGGGCCGCTTTCCACGACCTCCTCCCTGGCCCCAGGCCCGGGGCAGGGAGCCCCTAGTCCCGCCCCAGCTCTGCTACAGGCCAGGGCCCAGCGTGTCGCACGCTTTGCACGTCCTGTTCACATGGTCCGCCATGAGGTGCATAAAGAAAATGAGCAATAAAGAGATTTTGTATTGTCCTGATTGGGTGATCTCCTGCCTTGGGGGAACACGGAGAGCGCCAGGGATGTGGGTCAGGCTGATCCAGCAGCTGGGGCACTATAGTCCTGACCTGCCCTTGCCGGGAGGGTCCTCTAAGCCCCACCCAGCAGGCTGTCCTCGCTCCTGGAGGCCCAGCCCCTCCCCACACCCACCTGCTTTTGCCAGTCCCACCCCATCCACTCAGGAGAAAGAAGCACCTGGGGTGGCCTGTAGAGATCACAGCGGAGGGTGTGACAGGGCTGCCAGTCCCTTGTGGGTCTAGAGGATGGAACAGAGTCCCGAGGCCCATGTCCGGCTGCCCCCTCCTTAGCAAGAACCCCCAGGCTTACCACCCACTCCCGTCCTTTCTGGGTTTTTTTTTTTTCTGTCTCTTTGGGATGCTTCTGCCAGAAGCTCCCCAAGGGTCTCCTTTGGGGGCAGAGTCCACTTCTGAGCCTTATGTGGGTCACTCCATGTCCCGTATGGGCTTGGGCATGGATGTCTGAGCCCAGGTAAACTTGGCCACTGACCTCTCTGGGCTACAGTCTCAGCTGCGATGCCCAAGAGAGATGCAGAGGCTGGTGGGAGGGGGCAGATCCCTAGGCCGGAGGGTGGCTCCCCACCATGGGGAGAGGAAACTGAGACCCACTGTGAAGGGTTTTGTGAGGCCTTTGGACATGTGTCCACTCTGAGCAAACTAAAGTCCAGGTGGTTCGCAGTTTCAACATTAGATCAGGCCACAGTACTTTCACATCACATCTTTGAGAAGCTGGGTTTCCTGTGGTTTGGGGATAAAAAGTGAAAATCACCATAGAACAAGAAATGAGGCTGGGGGTGTCCCGTCTGGTTCTAAGGTTTGAGAAGCTAACTGGTGCACACAAATGATTAGAAGGTAGTGGTGGTTCTTAGAGAATGAAACTCCATTTCTTTTTTCTATTGATGCGCATTATACTTTCTAATTGATTACTGAGTTATCAGAACATAAATATTTATTAAGTTGGTTGGACATAAAATAATTCACAAATAGGATAGTTAGGTATTTCTTCTGGCCTAGGAGCACTTTGAAAAAAGTTACTGAGACACTAAGGGTGCCGTGAAAAGAGAAAATTTGGGCAGCTCTGAGTTAGCAACAGGGCAGGCACAGAGTGAGTTTTCGACGCACATCAGCTGATAATGTTAAGTACATACAGTGAGTCCCTTGCTGGACACCCCCCGCCCCTCCTCCCCTTGTCCAGACAACTGGCTGCATCCATTCTGGAAGCAGGCTAGGGAAGGTGGTTGCACCTATGGCCTGTGAGCCCTGGGAAGGGAGCCCCCCTCAGGGTCTGCTGTGAACCAACATCAACTAGTTGCCAAGTTGTTTTTGGCAGATCCAGGAGTCCTGCAATCAAGGAGGCAGCGAGAACTACAGCTGCCGTGAGCCTCCCCACCAGGTGGCCTCTCCACTCAGACGGATGAAGGGCCGAAAACTGCCTGCTTGATCCACAGACTTTCAATGGCAGGCGGACCCAGATGGTCATGCAGTGTGACCAGGGGGCTGGGTGAAGCCCCACTCTGTCCTTCCCACCCCCCTCAGCATCTGGATGGAAAGGAAAGTTCTCCGAGGGCAGAGGTGGCAACATCCTCATGGCAAGATTTCTAGCTAAATTCTAGCTGGAGTTGGGCAACCAGATGCTCAGATAATGAGGGTGGGGTGACTTTTGGAAGAGTGTGGGTTCCTGGGTGTGCCAGGCAAGGGAGGGGAAGGGACGAGAATGGGTATACTGTTTCTCTTAGTTCAAAATCATTTCTAACAGTCCTTTCGATACTGGACAAAGACTCTGGTGATGAGACGGTGAAAAGGTGGCCCAGGTGCATGATGAAGCCTTTTGGGAGGGAGCATGCCTTCTGATCATGTGCCTTGCACCAGGGTGATTTCCCCATCAGAAGACTCCACACAGCCCACCTTGCAGCTCCTGGCATGTGGAAAAGACCCCAAAAATGACACAGGTAGCTGGCCACACCTATGATAAGCAACACACAGGCACACCCAGGACAGGCAGGGTAACTGTCATTCATGGTGAGATAGGAGGGAAAGGAGCAGGGTGTGGCCATTAAAAGAGTAACACAATAATTAGCACCAAGATGGTGAAAGATTCAACTCCGAGCAGATCTTGAGCTTCAGTATACGCTCATTGAAATACACTAGCTGCTAAATGGCCCTCCCACAGGTGCCAGGAGAGTTTCAAGGCTGGTCAAAAAGTGAGTGGTGGCCCAGTTTCTGGGAACCCCGGCCCCTCCCCCAAAGTAGTTGGAATAATCCAATTGGGACATGGCCATCCTCTCTCACCCCATTTTTCCTGCATCAGTGGCAGTAAGTCCCAGCAGGCTGGCTCCTTGGGGGCAGCTTAACTGAGTTATTAGCTATGAATGCCCCACCTCTTAGCAGTTCCAGGTCCGGTTGCAAACTATGA